AGAATCAGTTTGTACTTATTTATGGTATTTATATAGTGCCTACAATTTACGCAGTGCTTTACATATACATTGTACATTCACATCAGTCCCTAACCCTCAAGGGGTGTACAATCTAAGGTCCCTAACTTACATTCATACATACAAATATTAGGGCCAATTTAGACAGGAACCAACTCACCTACCAGCATATATTTGGAGTGTGAGAAGAAACTGGAGTACCCAGAAGAAACCCACACAGCCACAGGGAGAACATGCAAACTCCAGGCAGCGGGTGCTGTGGTTGGGATTTGAACCAACAACCCTAGTAGGGCTAGGCGGAAGTACTAACCATTTAGCCACTGTGTGCAGTTTGTACATTTTGCCACCTATGATCACAACAAAATACCAGAACTAATGATCAGTAGCCGGCGGGAACAACTCCTGATCATGTGACCACCGTAACAGCCAATCACAGTGATCACATGATTGGCGATCCTTCCCTCTCCCAGGCATTACGAACCTTCTTAAGGAATGCTGGGGCTTGTGGGAAGGAGTTATTATAACATTTTTTTCATAAAGAGACTGTGTAACTGTGTCAATTCATAGCAAAGTGACAAAGCCTTTTAAAAGCTCCCCTTCTCACTCAATTATACTGACCTTACTCATGCTTCCCCAACTTGCAGTTGTGTTACTGGAGCTGCCAAAAAATTCCTGGAAATTCCTGTTATGGGGAAATATATGACCTCCCATGATGCAGTGCTTTGAGTTTACACAGGGTTAGGACAATATAATAACAAAACAACAGGGGGCCACAGGGAAAGTAAATTCAAATGTCTTAAGTGGGCTTTTAATATATCATTAAAAAAAGCCTCGCTTCAACATAACAAAAACATAACACTTCAGTTAAAAGCATTTACCTAAGATGTCATTTAGGTGGTATAGGAATGTGAAAATTAATTACAGAGTGAATCTACATCTGGAAGAAATTCAAGACATATCCACAGAAATCTGTTAGAAAAGCATCCCAAAGTGCCAAGATAATAAAACATTATACACTATTTTTTTTTTTCACATCAGCAATATTGTGAGAAACATTTTATTAATTAGTATGCAATAGCAGCCTTTGATTATATTAGGTCTTTTGACCTATTTTGAGCAAGAAAGTAGGACAGCCTCCGGATTGCCTCTCCATGTCCCCAGACACCATGCTGTGCTATGTTCTCTGTGTCTGACACTATAGCACTCAGATACAGGCCAGGCTTGCAATTGTCTCCTTAGGGCTTTTCCTACTGAAATACAGATGCTGAACAGATCCATTTATAAAAGCTGAGTTGCTAGGAATGTGAGGGTACATGTACAAGCAGTTGATTGCTTTTAACTGCGTCGTGACATATCTTAAACGTTAAGGACGCTCGAGAGCAGCTTTGTTTTCATTTTGTATTTCGTTGCTCTATTGGGTGTGAAGAGTTCCATCGCATTTATGCTTTCATAGCAATAAGATTCTTACTATTGATTTATGAATAATTATTGCTGACGGCAAAGTAAGATCACCTCCAGGAGATTTAAATACATATATAAAAGTCTAAAAGGTACTTTAACCTATTGACTATTGAAAATTGTTATTGATGGATTGATCCCTTCCAGGATACATAGGATAACCCTAACATACTTTTAAATTTGCCAGTCAAAGTGATCACAATACATAGTCTAAAAGGATAAATTGTTATTGATGGATTGATCCCTTCCAGAAATACATAGATAGATAACATACTTTTAAATTTGCCAGTCAAAGTGATCACAAATATTAGATTACTTTATAGATTAGATTATAGATATCTCAAATTGTGACTAAGGTGCACACGGGCAACACAGTGGCTAATTGGTTAGGACTTCCACCTGTCAGTAATAGGGTTGTTGGTTTGAATATCAACTACCGCACCACCGGCCTGGATTTTCATATATACCCGGTGCCTGTGTGGGTTTCCTTCAGGTACTCTGGTTTCCTCCCACACTCCAAAGACTTGCTGGCAGGTTAATTGGATCCTGTCTAAATTGGCCCCTATATATGTATGAATGTAAGTTAGGGACCTTAGATTGTACAGCCCCTGAAGGTTAGGGACTGATGTGAATGTACAATATATATGTAAAGCGCTGCATAAATTGACGGCGCTATATAAGTACCTGTAATAAATGATTGAATTTTTACATCACACACAGAAATAGAGCATAGCCTTACTCAGTACCTTGTACCCGGGGAGTTAATCCTGTGTGGTTTTACACTTTCAATTGATATTATTTTCTGAAATGAAATTTGGGCTTCTTCCCATTGAACATTCTTACCCACACCTTGTGCTTTTCCCCTGCATAAAATCTGCATTGTTCATGTAGCTTCATGGTATAATTTGTTGGCCTATACGCTGAGTCTATACTATACTAAATCTTCACATTCATGGCGTCAGAAATTTTTGTTTGCAAAATGAGGTATGTGGCATGGCAATGCACAGGTTAATGCATGACATCTGTAGTCTGAGAACTGACACTTCCTGTGAAGAAACTACATATCCCACAATTCCTAGGTCTCTCAGTCTAGTGCTGGTGCAAGTGAAAGTTAACAGAGCTTACCTGTCAGGGTCCGCCATGATCCGTGGCTCGGCGCAGGCGCAATGTGCCCGTTTACGCTAGTGTACGGGCACTAGGTCCAGGCCGGCCGCGGCTGAGACGAAGTCTGCGCATGCGCACTTGGAGCCGCGAGTGCGCGCCTGGCACCAATGACAGCGCAGGGCGCGATATTTCAATCCGCCCTGCGCTTACAGGAATTGCCGAATGGTCTTTCCTGTATCCTGATCCTATACCTGTGTTTTCTGAATACTGCTGCTGACCCGGATTGACTGACTTGCTGTATTCTCCTGCCCTGACCCTTCTCCTGGATGTCCCTTTATGGATCTGACCTTCTGTTGCTGACCTGGCGTGTGACCCGACCATTCTTTGCCCGCTGCTTTGTACCACACCGCTCCCCACGGCTACCGACTCGGCTTGTCTGACCTCGCTCTCGCTCATCCATCCATCTGGCCTGGGCATATCCACCTCTTCACATCAGACTCTATTCCTGCAGGAGCCCCTGGTGGACTCCTCTACCATGGGTAGGTGTACTTCGGAGCCGCGACCTGGTCTCGGTTTACTCCAAGTCCATCCCCACCATCAGGGGCCCTGGTGAACAGTGAATCGGGACTTAGACTCTACTCTCTGGGGGAACCTGTGCCGTGGGTCACTAGAGAGGCAGCTAGATGGTTCCTTACATTACCATACTGAAAGAGAGTGTTTGTCTCATAAAAGTAGCACATATTTGTGATGCAACAAAGAGAAAAGCATAGATATGCATGCTACTCAGAACAAGAAGTTGCCTGTCTCTCTGGTCAATAGGGACAAGGTAGGTGTGTAAGCAGGGTGTTAGTTCCCCTATTATGGGGGGTCCTGCTCCAGGGAGTGGTTGAGGGATGGGTCATCTTTTCCTAATAGGGGTAGGGGTGGTGTAGGTCTATGGAAAGTAGTGACCTAAAGTAAGCAAAATATGAGCCACGGGGAGCCTGGCTAACCAGCCCTCTGGGGTAGGTCCCAAGCATGTATGGGAGTGGTATACCTGAGCTAAAAAAGAGTTGGGTGGCACCTCTTTATTCAGTACATGATGTAAAGTTCAGCGGTGCTGGCAAATGTGGTAAGGACCAGGACTAAAGGACCATGCACAAAACATTTTAAAACAAATAGAAAGTCTTTTTATTCTTCCAAAAGATAAAACAAACAATGCTTTCAGCATCAAACAGAGAGAGGCTTAACTTCAGAAGACAACAAAAAAAAGTCTGCGTGTCTTCAGTGCAGTAACATAACACAGTGGCTCACCAAATGAAGGCTTAAAGTGGTCATAAAGCTTTGGTGTATACTTACCTGTTCTGTGCAATGGTTTTGCACAGAACAGCCCTGGTTCTGCTCTTCTCGGGTCCCCCAACACTGCTGTTCCACAATTCTGTGTCCCCATAGGAAGCCGCTTCCCATGAGAGCAGTTGTGCAGGCTCGCTCCTGAGCCCCGATGGTTGCGTCCATAGACACAGAAAGCGGGCAATGACCCTGCCCCCCCATCCCTCATCACAAATTTTGATTGAGCAGCCCCACTGCCCCACTGCAATGGATCTTTTTTTTTCTGCTCGGAATTGAGCTTTAACTGTGCAGAAAGTACAGGAAAACAAAATTTAAGGCAGGGAGGGATAATGATAGTTAAAAGTCACTTGACACCCCTTACTAGAATTTTTTTTTCTCTTTCCATGGTCATTTTTCTCTTCCCTTTTTCATTGCCAGTTTGATGACTAAGAAACGTAATAGGTTACAGGTACAGTGTACTTATCACAGTCAGTGCCGATGCTGAATACAGAAGGACAATGACAGGTCTGGATAAATCAGAGGCTTCTCTCTAACTAACAGATTAACGTGTCCTCTCTCCCTAGAGATATCAAACATCCATGATGATATTTACCAGGAAGAATGGGAAATACAGTATATAGGCCTACTGCTATTGATATCAGCTGGACACAGTGGCCTGATGTCTCAGGAGAAGGGGCAAAAACATCTGCTTCCCACCTTCAGGCAAGCATTAAATACAAAGAGTATATATTCAGTATTTGGGGATGTTTTTATCTGCCAAGGGATTTGAATTGCTGTTCTTCCAGTCCTGAGATTTAAGACATCTCTATCACACCACACAACACGCATGAGCTGGTGTGCATAAAATACTACTACACGGTGGCGCAGGTGTGCAAAATCACGTATATATACACGATTTTGCAGTTCCTGGTAGGGGGCGTGTGCGCTCAACTCATGCCGCCATTCGCAGCCTCAGCTGTCAATCACTGGGTCCCGGCTGGTGATTTCCTGCCGGCACCCGGCGATCTCCGAGAATTACCGAAGGAGGAGAAACCTGTGTATAAACAACACAGATCTCTCCCCTGTCAGCTCTTGCACACTGCTTTGTATTTCTCTGCATAGCAGAGCCATACAAAGCAGTGCGCTTGCAGTGGAAACCACATACAGAGCATACTGTGAAACAGCACACAGTTAACCCTTTGTTCACCCCAGATGTTAACCCCTTCCTGCCCAGTGCCATTAGTACAATGTCCCGAGCATCTCCAAAATGGGGGAGAACTGTTTGTAAACAAAACAGTTCTCCCCCCTGTCAGCTCGTGCACAGTGCTTTGGATGGCTGTGCACTGCACAGCCATACATAGCAGTGTGCTTACAGTGAAGCACAAACACACAGCCCCATGGTAAAACACACACAGCCAGGGGCGGACTGACCATTTGGAAACTCGGGCACTGCCCAAGGGCTCGGGGTCAGTAGTGGGCCCCATGAGATGCCCCTGGTACCTTTTTCATAGGCTTTTTTGAGTTTGGGCAAGGGCACAGGGGCCCCATGATCCCCGATTGCCCGGGGGCCCCATGAGTTGTCAGTCCACCCCTGCACACAGCACACAGTTAACCCTTTGTTCGCCCCAGATGTTAACCCCTTCATGTCCAGTGCCATTAGTACAGTGTCAGTGCTTTTTATTAGCACTGATCACTATATTGGTGTCACTGGGGATGTCAGTGACACCAAGTCAGTTCCACCCAGTGGCAGAGTGCCCGCCGCAGTCCCGCTATAAGTCGCTGATCGCCGCCATTACTAGTAAAAACAAATTCCAGTGTATATACCGTCATTTGTAAACGCTATAACGTTCACGTAAACCAACTAATTTTAGCAAATACATGTTGCAGAATACATTTTGGCCTAAATTTATGACAAAATTCGATTTTTTTTAAATTTTAATAGCAAAAAGTAAAAAAAATATTGTTTTTTTTCTCAAAATTGTCTGTCTTTTTTTGTTTATAGTGCAAAAAATAAAAACCGCACAGGTGATCAAATGTCACCGAAAGAAAGCTCTATTTGTGGGAAAAAAAGGACATAAATTTCATTTGAGTGCAGCATTGCATGACCCACGCAATTGTCAGTGTCGTATCACAAAAAATGGCCTGATCAGGACGGGGGTAAATCCTCAGGAGGGCAAGTGGTTAAAAAAAAATTCCATTTTATTCATCATTGCGACATGCTGTGATTACGTGCTCTGGTGTGCTTTGCACTGCATAAATAGGCAGATATGCTGCAAACGCACACCAAAGTACATGCTCGGTGTGAACGAGACACATAGAGATCAATTGTGTTCTGTGTGCTGTTGATCAATGAACCTAGAGTGAGTCCTAACATTTACAGGTCTCCTACACCTGCCCCATCCTGTGACTAGGCAATGAAAGAAGAAACAGCACACTGATGAGCTTATCTGTCTTTCACTCTTCTCTCTCCTCCTATAAACATTCTTCTTGCACTGCAGCACCACTGCTTGGCTCGTCATACTGCTTCTCTCTCTCCAAATCTGAGCTCTGCTCTACAGAGGTTACAAGAGGAAGGTACCAAGATCAAGACAGGTATCCACACTACTTCCTTTTAAAAACAAAATACAGTTAATGATGTAATGAATACAGAGCTGCTTTATTGGGTATCATTTTTATCTACCTGAAGTTCAGCTTTAAAGTAGAACTCCCGGAATAATCTTTTTTACAAACTTACTTTGCAAACATACAATGGTCCATCTTGGCTTGATAGAAGTATCAATTTCTGATATCCAAAGGGCTGGGGGTGCTGAAAAAACCTTGAAGTAGTCCTAGTGCTGCTCCAGTGGTTTCCCCTCCATCCAATGCTCATACGGGGTTGTTTGCTTAACACCGACATCATACTCTACATCTTGGAGGAAATATCTCCAAAGTGAAGAGGAGTGGATGATATCACCTGTCATGAACCTATGGTAGTGAGCCCTTGTAGACCGCCAACTCGGGGTTCCCCAGGGTGCGGAGTCTAAGCCCCAGCCTGCTTCTTCACCAGAGCCCCTGATGGTGGGGATGGACTTGCAGCAAGTTGGAACCAGGTCACGGCCCCCAGGTACACCCAGCTGAGGATGCAGAGACCAATCGCGTGAGCAGAAGGTAATCCAGGAGACAACAGGAAAGCCGATAGACAGGCCGAGGTCAGGACAGGTGGAGATCAGCACAGTCAGTGGACAAAGCCGGGGACGGTGCATGGGTAGTCAGATACAGGATACAAGTGTAGCAACAGACAGGAGCTCAGATAACTAGAAGTTGCTCAGGCAAAGTGGGCTAGACTGAGCATGTCTTATATAGACAAGCAAACTAGGAGGCGAGCCAGGAAGTGATGGAAGGGAATGAAATAAAACCCAGAGGATAGCAAACAATGCCCATAGGTGAGCACAGACAAACCCCACATGTGAAAGGAATCCGAAGCAGCACTGCACCAAGGAGGTAAGAATACACAAACTAGAAACTGCAAGCTAACTTGTGACATCACCCTTGGCAACAATGTCCCCGGTAGGAGAATTTACTTGTAGTCTTTTCGTATAACTGCCCACCACTCTCTGGAAGCAACTTGAATGTTTTTACCCCTAACGAAGTTCCTGAAAGATATTTGTGGTTAATCCTTGCATGAATTGCCTGTTTCAACCCCCCCCCCCTGCAAAATTTCATAAGGAATCAAAGAATTAAATCAGAGCTTTGATAAAGGCAGTCCATAATCTCTATCTCTTTTTTGAGCCATTTCTTGGTGGATTTGCTAGTGTTATTCAGATCATTATCACATTGAAATACCTAGTTCCACTTCAACTTTTGAACAGATACCCTCATATTCTCATCAAGCACACTTTGATGTACAGTTAAATTGATATCTGTGAGTTGCCCAGGCCCTGAAGCAACAAAGCAACCCAAAACCATAACGTTTTTACCAACATGCTTCACAGTTGTTATAAGGTGCTTCTGAAATACTGTCTTTGGTTTGTGGCAAACATGTCTATTGTTATAGCGGACAAACAACTGGTTGTTTGGTTGATCAGTCTTTAGGAAATTGTTCCAGAAAGCCCGGTCTTTGTCTATATGTTCAAGGCCAACTGTAATCTGGCTCTAAGGTTCTCTTTTGGCCTGCAAAGGCTTTTTCTCAACACACCTCTAATTCAGGTTGATATAGTGCAATCTCTTTTGATTGTAGGTGAAAGCACTCTGAGTCCAACCTTTGCAAGAGTTATCTGAACACCCCACAATGTAATTTTGGTGTCCTTGGAGATTCTTTCAGCCTTAAATGGTCAGCTCTTTAGTTGAATTAGCTGGACCAGTCAGTCCTGGACAAATTAGCAATTGTTTGAAACCTTTGCCACCTGTATAGTATTTTCTTTACAGTTGAATGATTGATTTCAAATAATTTAGTGATCTAGTTAAACCATTGTCAGACTCATAGGTAGAGATGAGCGAATCGAACATGGCGAAGTGGAATTTGTTTCGAAGATCAGGAAAAATTCGATTCGCGCCGAATTCGAAAATTAGCAAACTTCGGATGCACGAATCGAATTTTCCCAAAAATGGCGGGCGACATGTGTGGCGACGGAGCGGGGATCTCTGGGAAGGCGCGCAGACAAGGCGCGCTGACCCATAATGCATTCATTCATGACATGTGATCGCATTAGCCAATCAGCAGCCAGCCAGCCAGCACTGTGTAATGGTGGAGCTATAAATTGCGGCCATCTTTTCTTAGAATTTCTCCATTAGTCTCCGGTCATTCAAGAGAGACAGACCTGTCTGTATTAGGGACAGAGTTAGGGCCACAGGAGATCTTTAGGGCCCACAGAATCGTTACTCAGGGACACAGAATTGTTACTCAGGGACACAGAATCGTTACTCAGGGACACAGAATCGTTAATCAGGGACACAGAAATTGTTACAGAATTGTTACTGAAGGGACACAGAATCGTTACTGCGGGACACAGAATTGTTACTCAGGGACACAGAATTGTTACTCAGGGACACAGAATCGTTACTCAGGGACACAGAATTGTTATCAGGGACACATGAATTGTTACTCAGGGACACAGAATCGTTACTGAGGGACACAGAATTGTTACTCAGGGACACAGAATCGTTACTGAGGACACAGAATCGTTACTGAGGGACACAGAATTGTTACTCAGGGACACAGAATCGTTACTCGGGACACAGAAGAATCGTTACTCAGGGACAGAGAATATGGTTACTCAGGGACAACAGATTAGCGTTACTCAAGGGACCACAGTAATCGTTACTCAGGGACACCAGATTCGTTACTCAGGGACACAGAAATCGTTTACTGGAGGGACTCAGAATCGTTTAAACTCAGGGGACACAGAGAATCGTTATACTCAGGGACACAGAGATTGTATTACCTCAGGGGGACATCAGAAAATCGTTACTCAGGTGACAACAGAAATCCGTTACTCAGGGCCACTGAATTGTTACTCAGGGACCACAGAATTGTTACTGTGGGAGGAAACAGAATTCGGTTTCACTCAGGGACACAGACAAGGTTACCTCAAGGGGACACAGAACAATTGTTACTCAGGGACACAGAATTGTTACTCAGGGGACACAGTAAAAATCGTTTACTGAGGGACACAGAATCGTTTACTCAGTGGACACAGAATCATTACTTCAGTGGACAACCAGAATCGATTACTCAAGGGGACACAGAAATTCGTTACTCATGGGACACAGAATTGATTACTCAGGGGACACAGAATAAAAAATTTTGTTACTCAGGGACACAGGAATCGTTACTTCGAGGTGACTCAAGATTCGTTTACTCAGGGGGGACACAGCGTATCAGTTACTCAGGGGAACAGTAAGTTGTTACTGGAGGGACAACAGAATCGTTTCTCGGGGACACAGAATCTTTTAACTCGTGGACACAGAAATCGTTAACTCTTAGGGACACAGATTTGTTACTCAGGGACACAGAAATCGTTAACTCATGGGACACCAGAATCGTTTAACTCAGGGCGGGACACAGATATTGCTACTCAGGGGACACAGAAATCGTTACTCTGGGACACCAGAATTGTTACTCAGGGACACCAGAATCGTATACTTTCTGCTTTCAACATACCACTATTGAATTAAAAGAGTTATGTCAGACAATCACGCAGAGACGGAGTGGCAGTGGAGGCACTGTTTTCAGGATAGCGGAGCAGCAGACGTTTTGGCCAGCAGTAGGAAGGGGGGTGTCGAGGCATGCACTTAGTCGCAGCCCTCAGAGGCCACGTGCTCAGGGTGTCATCCAGCGGTCGTGTCGTCCACCGACAACCCTGGCGTCATACGATTGGTTGACTCGGTCGTCTTCCTCTTCCACAGGTCACCTCTGAATCACCTACAGCCAATGGTCCGTTGGTGGGTACGTCCAGTCACAACCGTTTAGTTGGCATGGCACGGGAGTGCAAGCCCACTGAAAATCACGGTGTCCTCTACCTTGCCCCTGTTCCTTTGGTTGTTCCCGTCACCTAAGCGATAGTATCGCGATGCTGTGGGCCTCAGCCCCACTGTACAGTGAGGATGAGCTAACAGAGGGCGGTTGGTCAGGAACCGGGGGGGAGACATTCGCCTCTCAGCAGCCAGGCGAAGATGTAACTGGCCGAGTTCGAAGGAGTGGCTCAGGTTAGCCAGTGTCTAGAGACCAGGTCTGTCTCCCTGACCCCACACGCAGCCGCGGGGGCTAGTAGTGAGGAGGAGACCCTATTTTGATGGATGATGAAGGCTGATAGCACTTGGCCAAGCCTCGTCGTCGATCAGGACTATTGCT